TGCCTCCACACAACCAAGCAAGGAATCAAATTGGTTCCAATGAAGATGATGTGGAACATAAATATTTCTCCAGACCCATATAGCAGCATGACAACTTGAGAAAACATGTGACATATTCTCCATTGCAGAACTACAAATCTGACAAAAAGTGTTGCTAGACATATGTCTTTTAAAACGTTGCTCATTAGTCAGCAGCTTACCATGAGACAAAATCCAAAGAAAGCATTTAACTTTAGGAGGCAACTTGATTTTCCAAATGAAAGCCCAAGAACTGTTAGCAAATTCCTGGTTAGGAAAATTCATAAGATAGCCACTTTTCACACTGAACTCTTCATTATTGGTGCCACTTAGATCATTGAGTCATTGCCATCACAGGACAAAGCAACCGAAATACAAAGAATGTTCTGTATAACTTGGGGAGGAATCATAAGACTTAACTTATCAACATTCCAAGATCCATTCTCGATGAAGTCTGCAACTTTAAATTTGGATCAAGGCCATGAATTGAAGGCAGAACATAATTAATAAAGGTATCATTTCCAACCCAAATATCAGACCATGAATTTGTATTTTGACCATTTCCAATTCTCCATTTCAGGCCTTTATGTAAAGTCTCAACACCATGAGTAATACTCCTCCAAGAAGAAAAAGCACCCTTCCAAACTTTAATTTTAAAAAGGTCAGCCTCACCATGTTTGAGATACTTTTTCCTACAATTAATACATATAAGGAATGTTATTGGAATGTAAAAATAACCCTCTTTAAAGGAAAATAGTGCAAGTGGTCCAATATTCTAATAGATGCGGTGTTGAGTTTCTACCCATATGTCCCGGGTTCGAAACTCTTTTTTTCCCTAAATTATTGTAATAATTTCGAATACTTCCCTCCCTTAATAATAACTAGATGCAATACACACTGTGTGATTTAAAATTTAAAAAGAATTAAATTAAATTTATGTAAAAAGGTTAGTGGATTGGGGAAGATGGTAAAAGTGGGAAAACAGTGGACATGGGTGGGTGCAAATGAGAGAGATAGAAAGTGTGAGTTCAGGTGCTCATATGATGAAATAGCTGTGAGGTTCAGGAAAAAAAAAAGCAAAAACTTGTTTGTGCGAAATTACTATAATGTTCAACTTTTTTTATTTTCTAATATTTTCTTTTAGTTATGTATAAAAGGGTATAATAGTAATTTCATTAGTATTTTGTTGACAAACAAAGTTTTATTAATATGTAATTTAGATCAATTAAAAAAAAGAATTGTTTTTTTGTTGATACTAGTTGAAAATTCATATTAAAACATCAACTTATGTCTAAATATATAAAATTATTACCTATAAATTAAATTTCCTAAAAAAGAAATAGAAGGACCTAAATTAAATTTCCTGAAAAAGAAAGGAAATTGTTATGGACACTTTAAAAATCTCATTTTGCACTTCAAACTTTTTATAATTAAAAAAAAATATATATACTTATAAAAAATGTAAAATGAAAATTTTAAAATGTTAATATAAGTTCTAAAAACAAATAGATGGCCTAATTTTTATTATTGCTTTTTGAGACAAGGAAAAGACCAGCGGAAGGGTAGCGGGAGATCGCGCCAAAAATAAGAAGAGAAAAAAAAAAACGTGCTCCAGAGATCGCGTGGACTTTGAATGGCAATCCACGTGTCCGAACACGATTGGTCAGTAAGTTCTAGAAGGTCGTAGAAGTGGGTGTGAACGGAATCCAAACTCTCGTCTCAATTGGTTGGGAAAGTATTTAAACCAGCAGATCCCAACCGGTTCCTTCTCTGTGGGTCGCGCATATCGCAGAAAAGAGAACTTTTCTTCGTGGCTTCTTCGCCCTCAGGTACGCTTTCTCTCTCGTTAGAAAAGCCCAACTGAAACCCTAATCGTAATCCATCAGCCTTTCAGTAGCGTAGTCGTATTTGAATTCCCAAATGTGCTTTATAAAATTTTCAATTTTGTTGAGAATTTGTAGAATATTTGAACTTTAAAGGTAGCGTGCGGCCGAAATATTGGGTTTTTGTGTGTGTAGAATTTCGGGGGTTTTTTGTTTGATCTGTGTGATCCAACGTTTTAGGTTGATTGCTATATATTATTGTTGAATTTGAGTATTTAAAAGTTGTTTTTTTATAAGGCTAATTTTGTTTTTTTGTTAATTAATTTCAATAGTTTGGATGGTTATTATTGTAGATTCTAACAATGTAGCTGCAATTATTGGTTTAGTTTTGCAATTGGGCATATATGTTCATTATGCTGAACAAAGAAACGTATAAAATCGGGTATTTTTGTGCATCTGTAAGCTTTTTGGTTTTGGTGGTTGAAGCACAGGAGCAAACCAGAAGTACTACTTTTCTATTTGTATTGGCAACGTACATAACTTTAGGAATTGGGGCGTTTTGACTCGATTCTGGCAATCGAGAATGGATTAGGAAATTCCCTGGTTTGCTTGAGCAGTTGAAACTGAATCTGTTATTTGTCTATCTAAGTTTTGGTTCTTACCATTTTTCTTTAACGGTTATTTTTCAGTGTGATTGGATACGCGATCTTCATTAGTTCAACAACCCACATTTTTGTCTACGGAGCATTTTGATATTGGACTGCGGAGATGGCAGAGGTGTGTACTGTAATATTTATTGTATTTTAGTCTAGTGTTCCATTGTGTGTACTTCCTTTCTGGGTTTCCAATGCAGTTCTTGAATTGATGTATTAATTTGGTTGCAGGAGGTTCACAAGGTTACTTTGAATGTATACGACTTAAGCCAAGGATTAGCTAGGCAAATGTCCACGGCTTTCTTGGGGAAAGCCATCGAGGGCATATGGTAAGTTTCTTTGTTCGTTGGAATTACGAGGAGTACGTCAATTTCTTCTCAGCAAGGCTTGTGTAAAGGTAATTAAATCTTCTATGCGAATTTTCAATCGCAGGCACACGGGATTGGTGGTTTATGGTAATGAGTACTATTTTGGGGGAGGCATACAACATGCTCCTGCTGGGTCAACACCGTATGGGACACCAATTAAAGTGGTAGATTTGGGTGTCACACATGTGCCCAAGGATGTATTTGAGATGTATTTGCAGGAGATCAGTCCCCGGTATACTGCGGAAACCTATAGTTTACTTACTCACAATTGCAACAACTTTAGCAATGAGGTTGCTCAGTTTTTGGTGGGTGCAACCATTCCGGACTATATTTTGCAGCTTCCTAATGAAGTTATGGGCAGTCCAATGGGAGCTCTTATTAGTAAGTTATTTTATCCATTGCTAATACTGAGCTCTATTTGATTAGTGATAGTAAATTTAGAGTCTTCCATGTTTGCGTATTTGTACTTTGAAATTTAGATTAAAGCCATTTAATTTCAGACAATGACTTTAAATTGAAATAAGGATTGCGGTTAATGGGAGAACCATGTGGTTAAATACTCAATAATGTGGGTTTTCTCTGCCGTTGTTTTGCAGTGCCCATGATACAGAATCTGGAAGCAACATTGAGAAGTGGTGCTGCTCCTCAAGCTCCACAGTTCAGGCCTACTTCCATGGTGCAAACGATGTCTAACACTGCGAAACCCTTGAGCACTTCCAACAAGGAGACTGGTGACAAATCGAAATCTGGAGCGCAGCAGGTCACCAAGTCAGAGGAGCGGGGAGCATCAGGAAGTGTGGTTAAACCTCCCAACGGAGTTGTAGATCCTCTCGGGGATGCTCGAAGTAAGGTGCAAGAGGAGATCTCTGCTGAGTTTGCTGCAATCATGGCAAGTGGAACACTGCGGGCAAGCGAGGCTGCAGCGCTTGCAACGAGAAGAGTGATGCAGAGATATGGTCATGCAGGTACCACGATGTCACAGGGTTAAGGGTTTGCGTTGTTTCAGAGTTGTGTTCGAGTTTGGCAATTATTTTTGGAAGCTGCAATTCGATTTGCTTCCGAACATTATAAAATCAAGTGATCATGTTACCTGTATGAAGCTGAATCCGTAGACGATGATCATAGGGTGTTTGTATTTTCTGTTCAATAATTAATGATCTTGTAGCGTTTCATCCGTGGCTTCGTAGTTTAAAATATTTAAGGACTACTTGTAGAACCGCATACTTGTCCTCAAAGAGGCCTCATTTGGATTTGTGAGTGATTTGGAATTGAATGATTTTAGTTAACCGTTATGTGCATTTAGGGTTTTTTTTTTTTTTTTTTTTTTTTTTTGGAGTACATTGATATTTTTATATTAAGAGGAGAGGGGGGAGCAAAATATGCATTGGTTGTTTCGGAATAGGTTGAGGACGTATGTGAAAGTACGAACACTTTTGCTTTTTCATACGATTTGTAAGACGCTAGTACTGACCCCGACGGTGGGGGCCTTATGGGGAAGGGCCCAGCCCAATAGGGGCAGCACACCCCCCACTTCAAGCGCATCTCTGTATCGACTGAATCACTCTAAGAGTCTAGTCGGTGGAACCGGTGAACAGGCGAATAACAGTTACTTATGAAACCGATCAAACATATTCCCTTTCTCAGCCAGAATAGAAAGTGAGTGAGCTCGGGGCGAGGTCGACTCAATATCGAGAGACTCACCCACCGAGGACTTTATCGCACCCTTCTGTCTCCATCTCTCGAGTCGAGCTCAATCTCTGGCGGGTATTGTTTGGGTTTTGTTGTTAAGTTGACCCATGTAATCGTAAACTAGCGTGAGGAATTTAGGGGCGGATCCTTTCCGGTCAATCACGAGCAGCGAACTCCCTAAACCGTAGAATCTCATGAATGTAGCGGAACGAGGTCGGCCTTATCCCCACACTTCGACTAAGTCATACAATGGGAAGCCTAATTTGGTATAGAATTTATTATCCAAGAGATTTGAACTTAAAAATCTTTCACTTTCAAGTAAAGAGGAATACCATCAGATCATAATACTGAGTGGCATGTGCATCATTTAGATTTTGATTGATCACTTGAACCAACAGTCTATAACCTCGATTTCCGTCTGCCTGCGTAATTTATAATGGTAATATGGCTCGGTAAATAGTTATTTCTATATCAGTAATTGATAATTGAAAAAATAAAAACTAGAGTAGTTGCATTTACAAAAAAAAAAAAAAAAATTATAATAACGGTACAATATAACGCGCGTATTTGCACTTGCAAAATGCAAAGCGAATTTTGCAAGTGACCTCAGCATGCTATGAAGGGGCAGCTGAAATCGGGCTGCCTGATGAATTGCGAGCTTCACCGGTTGCACTGATATTTTCACTCTCTCTCGCAAGTATAGCTTCTTTTGGTCTGTTAAAAGCATCAGCGGGAATGTTTATGCCTGCGAATCCGATCATGACCGCCACGGCTCCAAGGTAATCGGCAAAATGAGGAGCATGGCCAGTCATTGAGTCAACAATTGCCGCCAGCGGAACCTGGATGGTCAGACCGGCCGTTGCTACCGTCGTGGTGGTTAGAAGAACGGCCTTGGCCCATAAGTAGTCGCTCAGAACATTATCCAACAAACCTAAGCACAACACAAAGATGTAAATGATTAAGTACAGGAGAAATACTGCATAAAACTCAACATCATCTGTATGTATCACTGCGCCTCACGTCAACTATCGTAAGAATGCATGCACAGACAAATAGAAAAAAGCAAAGCAAACTCCTGTACAGGTAACTCCAAGTTCAAAAGAACGTAAAGCATAAGTTAAGAACACACCTTTACCAACGATGAGACCGACCTGCTCCCAGGTAAGCATGTAAAACGGCTCCAGCTTGGAGAAATGAAGTATAAGGGCAACCGGAAGAAATATAAGAAGGTTGGAAAGCCCTAGAAATCCTAGAAACTGAGCCATACTGGCACGGCCGCTTTTTTCATCATCCTCATCAGGTAATTTCTTGCGAATGAGGGTAATATACACAGAATAGAAGGCCGCCGAGACAAGAGCAAGTATGTCGCCGAGGAGAGGGTTTGAAGCAATTGCACTTAGAGCAGTTCGTGAGTCACCAAGGCTGACAATTATCGTTCCTCCCATGCAAAGAAGAACGCTAATAAGCTTAACCAAAGTAAACTTCTCCCCTAAGAATACTAGGGCGACCAAAAAGGTGAAAAGGCTGGATGAACTGCTTAAGATTGTATTCGACTGCACGCAACAAGCACAGAAAATCAATCATACCGACATCATGAAACAAATGGACAAATTTAAGAAGCAGGGTGTGCCATGCAACACTAAAAATGCTTACCGTAACCGTAGTATACTTCAATGACAAATTGAAAGTCAGCTGTGCGAAAAACCAAAACGGGGAAATCAGCAGGCTAACTTTAGCCACTCGAGTTCGTGTCCAACGCCCTTTTTCATCCACTTGCTTATCTACCGTTTCAGTGCCATTGTCTTGAGTTGCTGAAGTTCCAACAAGCTCGTACAATACAACTTTCGGTTCTGCACCAAGATTCACTTCCCCCTCTTCCGCATCTGCTTTCACAACTCCGTCAGTCTCCTCAAGGAGAGTGATTTGCTCCGAATCTCCTAATCTTTGCAAAGGGCTACTCTTCCTACTTCTCCAAATCCAAAACCCCTCAAAATTATCCTCCAAATACCGCCCGATTTCAACCAAGGGAATGTAGATCACAAACAGAGAATTGCATATGTATGTGATGAGGAACGGGGACACACCGGCATCTACAACCGACTGTACTACGAAACTGGCAGCTATCCAGATAGATGCAACAGCAAATATGTATACCAAACCTAATACCCACTTCCCAACTTCACTTTTCATGTCTTTCCACCCAATCCCAAATCAAATCAGCTCCCAAATCTTGCTAAAAAAAAAAAAATCAGCTTTTCGATTTCCGAAGCCCGAAAACGTTAGACTTTATGTGCTTTTGGAGAATTATAACAATTTCCCATGCCACTAACAACCCGAAATCTCACCTGAAACAACCAAAAAGAAGATAAAAAAAAACCCACCAAAATTAAGGCAAAAACCATAATACTAAACTGCACCAATACACAATCTTTTCGATACAATTACGATATCAATTGAATTAATTTCAAACCCAAATCCCAATACATGAACATTTAATAAAATTTAATTTAATGAGGATTTGAAGCCAGAAGAACAAGAACATGAATTTGCATACCAAAAATAAAAAAATATTAAAATATTGAAAGAAAAAAAAATCGAGCGTATTGAAGGGGATGTGGAATGTACCTGGGATGAGATTCAGATCGGATTCAGAGGTTCGTCGTTTTGACGGAGAGAGAGGTCTTCGGATTTGCAGTAAACTTTGTAATACGAAGTTGGCGGGTACTTGTCAGCCCAGTTAGTTAGGCCCAGCTTCTGAAATTTTTATGATCTTTTTTACCCTTCAGCCCAAACCCAAACCAGTTTTTACAGAAAAATAAATAAATAATAATTTTTCTTTTTCGTTTGCTAGTGGAAGAAAAAGAAAATATATGGTGCCCCACAGTCCACAGTATGGTGAAGAATAAAAAAAGGTCGTACCCAGTGCACAAGGCTCCCGCTTTACGCAGGGTCTGGGAGAGGTGAATGTCGGCTAGCCTTACCCCCATTTATGGAGAGGCTGCTCCCAAGTCTCGAATCCGAGACCTACCGCTCATGGGCGAAGGCACTTGCCATCGCACCAAGTGCCACAGTATGGTGAAGAATGCACAAATAAAATTGGTTACTGTTGTAAATAGTGTTGTATAATTAGTATGATTGTACAAACTTAAAGGAGGAATCTTAAAGGATTTGGAAGATTTTTTTCTTGTATGATTTGTATTACTTGTAAAGCAAGTAAAGACCATTATTATTAGTATAAATAAAGGCACAATGCATAAGGAATATTCCTCAAACCTTTATCTCTTCTCTCTTCTCTTTGTCGCACCCTCTCTCTACTATCTCAAACTTTAGTTTCACAACACATTATTAGCACGAATAGCTTTCGACGCTACGCTTGGAGTTCTAGAGAAGAATAATCCCAAAATTCAGCTATCTTCAATTAAGGGAAGTATTAGTTTTCATATCACTCTTATTATGATTTGATCACTTTCTTATTTTGGCATGACCATTTGTAACTCGTAGGTTGAACATTGATGCCACGTATTACATACAAGATTCTAAAAAACGCTAAACGCTAGTCGGGCGGCAGGCTGGAGCCTAGCGCCTAAGCAGCCTAGGTGAATTTAGGTAAATTTCTTGTATATCTTATAAATAAGCGTGTTGATGCGCAAAATCAGCGAGGACTTTAGTACAATAGAAATTGTTAAGTTTGTGACCTTCGCTAGATTGCTTTGATCACTAGTGTGGATAAGTAAGTAAATGGATAGGGACAGGGAAGCAAACACAAGATGTACGTGGTTCACCCATATTGGCTACGTCCACGGAGTAGAGGAGTTCTCATTAATTGTGAAGGGTTTACACAAGTACATAGGTTCAAACTCTCCTTTAGTGAGTACAAGTGATTTAGTTGAAATAACATTAGGAAATATTGTGAGAGAATGATCTCTATTTATAGAAGAGAGTTTCTAGTTTCATTCTAACATTGACACATATCGTGTTGTGATTGGCTTCTGATGTTGACACGTGTCGCGCTATGATTAGCTTATGATATCGACATGTGTTACGCTGTGATTGGCCTCCTGGTTGGAGGGAAACTCTTCTGGATCCTTGACGGTATAACGTTGACTGGTGCTCAGTAGTTTCGGGATTGGTCAAGTATGGTACAAACAAAGTGCATAATGACACTTACAAAAAATTATACTTGTATGAAATTCATGGATAAGATAATAAAAGAATGACAAAATGCAAAAAGAGTATCCAACAACAAGTCCAAAATTTAAAAACACATTAAGCATATATGTCATATAATCATTGTGAAGAGTATTGTAGGATGACACATGTACAACAAGTTCACAATCTAAAACCAAATAAAATGCAAAATAGGAGGAAAATAAGGAAATATAGTAATGTAAGATACTTGCAAAGTTACAAAGCTAGGCATCAAACTCTTCTTCACCATATCCCTCCAAGACTCTCTCTGTGTCGAACTCAAACTTAACTTCTTCATCATCTCCTTCTTCTTCTTCTGTGTCCTCATCCGATATAAAATCTTCTTCATGAAGTTCCCTTACTTCAACATTTTTAGAACCCCCATAGACTCTAGGGAACTACCTACCTCCGATGTCTCTCCAATTACCGAACCAAGCTCAAGTTCTTCATCACCACCTCCACAATCCATCCTTGAGCCATACTAGCTTCATTTGCAAGTAGACTTAGATATGATTTTTTTAATTAAAAAAATACCCGCCTAGCCACCTAGCACCGCCTAGAGCCTAGCCGATTTTTCCAACTGATTTGCAAGAAAACGTCTCAGGTCACCACCGCCCAACGTCTAGGCTGTTTTTTAGAACACTGATTACACAAAGTATCTCTTTACATGAAGTAAGGATCTTGTGCTTACAAGAACATTTTGCCAAGTTTGCTAATTGGGAAAATTGTATTTCTGTATCATCCTTAGCAATGACCATTATGAACCCTATTTTATAGTGAATTCAAGGGAATAATTGTGGACCAAAACAACCAAAATGCAGACCATTTAGATATTTTATGGTTTTTAGGTGATGTATCGATACAATGGTGACATGTTTGTCCACACACACATTCTACTAACCTCGTGATGATTTTAACTTAAAGGCTCACCACCCTAATAATCCCATGAAGTTTGAAAGACTGGATAACGCCAAAGAGTGTACATCCAAGGTTATTTTTTATTTTTTATTTTATATAAGTATTGCATGTTTTCTGGATTTAATTGAACATTACATTCACCATGTTCCCGGGAAAACAATCTCGCATAAACGATAATAAAACACTTAATCAATTGATCGCCTTGAACTTGGTGAATGCACCACGCTTTCGGGTTTGCCTAGGGCTACACAATGCCGCTATGTTGGTCTGCCTAAGACCTATCATCACCCAACCTTATTTTGCATTATAGTTGGTCACTGGATGTGACCTAACATTTCATACATATGCATTTGGGTGTGCAGTTTATGTGTCAAGCTACGTCAGCACAACGTATCATTATGGGTCCTCAAAGAAGGATGTGAATCTTTGTTTATTATGATTCTCTTTTGAATTAGCTCTTTAGGTTCATGCAAGCGATTTCTTTACCACTTATTTTGGATTGTCAATTCAATAAGACATTATTCCTGTTGTATAGAGATAAGAACGTCAATGTTCATGTAAACAATGCGATTTAGCGTGGACGTTACCCACTATACTCATGTCAATATCCGTATTGCACATAGTGATAAGCACGTGCAATGTATTCTAGGTTTTAGAATGTTGATACAGACGCATTTCTCTACTCTAAATAAAGTGATGAGATCATGTATACCATCTACAAACAAGCTTGCAAGGATAGACATACTTAACGGACGTCAAGTTAACATCTCTTAATAGATGTGCCGCCCCTGAAAGATTGTTTGTCGTCTCTGATAGGGCATGCCATCCATGTGTGGATGACATGGTACACCAACATCTAGTCAATCATCTGTCTTCGACTAGAAGCGTGACAGATCGTTCGGATCGTAGGTTTCCCTTTCGATGTCTACCTTCCAGAAGTTTACCAAGGTATTGGATTGTGTGACCTATCTCATTTGCAATGCCTGTAGTTCTCAGGGGTAGTTTTATAGAAAACTCAGGGATAGTATCATGGATTTTACTCACTTGGCCTTAATGTCTTATTAGATAGGGAGCATTTTTCCCCATTGAGCTTTTACAAATCTGACAAGGTTTTGATGAGGCACCTATATCAAGCTGATCATACCCTTGTGTGCTATTTCTATTACTTGATACATCTTAAAGATGACAAGTATCGACATTGCATTTTTACTAGAGATTCGCATATGCATTACCTATGCCGAACAAGAACAAACGACAACAACTGTAATCTCCTAATCATGAAGATTTAATGCGACCACTTCATAAATTGTAGACACTCAATGAGGAGTGTAATGAATAGTGTTTTACAACTTGTATGATTGTGTAAACTTAAACGAGGAATCCTATAAGATCTGGAAGGTCATTTCCTTGTATAACTTGTATTACATGAGGAATTCTTTTCTCTTTCCCACATCCTCACTCTACTTTCTCTTGAACATTAGTTTCACATCAGTTACAAGCTTTTAAACAAAAATGAAACTATGTATGTTGGCCACTTACTTTTATGGTTTTGTGGTATTTATGATCTTCACTTGTAAGGTGTAGGGCTTATATTTGACTCTAGTAAATGACAAATGCAAACCAAATTATTATGGCATATTCATTTTGTGGCTTAAGTGGATGACGAGTTCAATATTAAATTATTCGGGCTAGAACCGGTCCATCACACAGCTCTCTGGGGCTCTTGCCTGTTGGGCAAGGTTTGCTGCTTGGTGTGATGCAATATAAGTTTGTAGTTAGTTTGAATGGTGCCTTTGTGGGGCCTTTGTTAGGCCTTGAGACTCACAATCAAAACTAACCAGAATTCGAGCATGCCACTGTTATCTTTGTATAATAGATTATTGTTTAGTTGTGAATTGAGTTGATTACTTGCGCCACAAGTTATTTAGACTTATTGGTTATCAATGGATTGTCACAGATGGGTTAAGTTTGTATAAAGTTCTTTTTCTTGCCTTGTAAACAAGGACTTTTAACACATGATATCATATGTTCAAATAAAGGGAGTTCAAGGCCCGCCCTATCAACCATTCCTTTAATTACAGTTAAGATTAAAGGGACAAGATTGATTGACTTAGCTAGATTAACCATAACTTTGGATGAAAATCAATTGAAAATGATTAAAAACACAAAGTAATATGCATTGAACAATAGATCTACTTTATATAAACACAAACAAAAGAGACTCGGGCAAGGTTCAACTTCTTGCAACCACTTCTCTTTGTGTGTTACAGGTGTTTGTGGACTTTGGAAAATGAAATGTAAAAAAGGTTTCCTAAGGGGATTCGATACTACAATATTAGGGGAAGGTGGCAGAGCTTCTAAAATTGATAAAAGATGGCTTTCTATGAGGGATCTACAACTAAAATGGCAGAATCTGGACAAAATGCAGCTTTCTGGTTTCTTGCTTGTTTGAGAGCAAATTATGGATGTCTTTTGATTGATTGGTTGAGTGTTTTTGTCTTTGGTGTCCCTTGCACCAATTATTTACTATCCATGCCCTTGAAAAGTAATTTTTGCAGGTGAGCTGCCCTCTATCTCCCATCACTTCTCACATAAGCATATGACCTATGTCTTGTTGAAATGGTTTTTAAATTCTTCCTGGGCCGCTGGCTTTGTCCGAGCCCAATCTCCTCTTTGCTTCTGTGTTCTTGGGCATCTATCGTCGTAAAGCCCAATATTAAACATCAATCCAAACACAAATTATTATGGTTGATCTATTTTCTAGTTTAACTCAAATCCCAATGAAAATGTATTGTTGTATAAAAAAACATGACGAACACCAAACAAACAATAAGTTTGATATAAAACAGTTTAGTGCTCCTCAAATCATTAGTTTATTGTTCCACTAATTTCTAGTTGGATAATACTTTAGATCCTTCCCTTGGAGGAAGAAGGTTTTACGTTCATGTGTGTGCAGCCAAGCAATTTCCTGTCTACTTTAAATTAAAACGTTATTACACATTACACAGGTGTCGTTTTATGTTATTTGTTTTGGCTAATATGATTTGTCTTGTATTTCAATTATAGGGAAAGAGGAAGAAGACATGAAAGAAAGTAAACGAAGTATCTAAAACTGTTTTTTGTTTGTAACTTTATCAACTAATTTATGTGTTTGAAACCATAAACTACAGGTCATAAGCTACAACTACAAAGGAATTTGTTTTCACCATAATTAGTTGGTTAATTCTTCTTAACAAGAAGGTTAATGTCGCTGTTGAAGTGTTGACTCGTGTCAAGTCGCGGAATAATGCTACATGTACCACATTTAATTGTTGAACTGTATTTGCGAACCTGTCTCTCGGGGGACTTGGAATCCATCTATGCAACTGAACTTAAGTAAATGTGCTACAAATAAATCTACGGTGACATATATGGTTTCTCTCTTTTAATTAGCTAAGTAACTAATCATAAATCTTTGATAGATCCTGGAAGCCATAACGGATGAAGATCATAAGTTGAGAACAAAAAATTCTCCTTTGATATAATTTCCTTCACATTCGATCTGTTCGATTTTGTAGCAACTCGATACATTGTTAAAATCTGACATTGCTCGAACAAATTTTGTGTAATTCATGAGCAAAGAATCATAAAGACATGTTTTACAACAGAGATTAAATGCTTTGTGGAAACAACATCGTAGTATGCAACTTGTAGTTTTACAATGAAGAGGTACTTCCACACCGTAATGCTTCCACTCCATTGTGTCTTGAACTCGAACCCCATTCCATGGCTTCTGCCACAGCGCGTTGGCGTTCAGTGACACTGTCTTCAAGCTGAGGGTCCTCGTTTACGACCGACATTGTTTGATCCGGTGATGGAGAGGGAAGGCTGCTTATAGGCGAGGTAGCAGTGTCTGGACCTGTCCCGAGGAAACTAAGGGCACTAACCACATCGCTCATCAAGGGACGAACGGGCGCTTCCTCGTGGAGGCACATTGCTGCAATTGCCACAGCTTGATTTAGTGCTCTCATCGGAAAGTTACCTTGAAGAAGTGGATCGGCTAGTTCTGGATACCTATTTGGATCCTTGAATACCGGTTGTGCCTGTTAAATACAAAAAAAAAAAATTATAAGAAAATGTTAAAAGATTTCATAGAGACGGACAAGCAGTCCACTATTAATTAGTCGAACACGATATTGTTCCTAGCTCAACCACCTGCATAATCTAGTAGGTGTGAGCCCTCGGTGTTATACTAGTGAAACCATTTATGTTTTATTTTGTTAAGTTTCCAATGATTCTTCAACACAAAGCACATGCCTTGAATAAGAATAAGAAGAAACTGTGCAGGGATATTTACCCAAGCAACTAGATTTTGCTCCCTGGTTGTTAGTGTGGTGTCAATGGCTCTCCTTCCAGTGATCAATTCCAACAAAACAACTCCGAAACTGTAGACATCGGACTTGACAGTGAGCTGTCCTGTTCTTTGGTACTCTGGGGCACAATAACCATATGTTCCCATTACTCTTGAAGATACATGAGTCTTGTCTCCAATAGGTCCAAGCTTAGCTAGCCCGAAATCGGAGAGTTTTGCATTGAAATCAGCGTCAAGTAAAATGTTGGAAGACTTTAAATCGCGGTAGATAACAGGCGGATTTGCCTTGTCATGCAAGTATTCTAGACCCTTGGCAGCTCCCAGAGCTATTCTCAGTCTTTTGAACCAATCTAGTGGCTTCTGGTCTTCTGGAAGATCTAAATATCAAGATACAAAACATGAGAAGCCGGGTTTAAGCCCTTTGCGGATACAAATGGAAGAAGCATGAAAGATGGGGGGAAAATCAATTCAAAAACACTTCAAAATAGTACCTAGCAAATGGTCTTCCACAGATCCCAAGGGCATGTACTCGTACACAAGAAGTCTCTGATCGCCGTCCGCGCAATATCCGATAAGATTTACTAAATGTTCGTGGTGTAGGAGGCTCAACATCAACACCTCGACAAGAAACTCTCGGTTTCCTTGCAAGCCATTCCTGTCAAGTTGCTTCACAGCCACAACCTGTGCTGTTTTGTCAAGTTTTCCCTTGTAAACTCTTCCAAATCCGCCCTCTCCAATGAGACATTCTTGCCTGAAGTTCTTCGTTGCTGTCGCCAATTCCCGGAATGTGAAAGTTTGCGCAGCAATGTTGTTGTGGTTTACGGGTTCTTTATTGGCACTACTGGTGTTTGCTGCTGGATCCTCAGCTGGTGGTGTAGGTTTTGGTTTAGGAACTTCTGCTTATACATAACCAATTATTACAAAACTAATAATTTTCCCTACGAAAGGGTAAAAAAATCGGAAGAACAAGACTTGTGATACAAAACACAAAAGGCAAAAATCCAATTTTCAACAATGCTGGGAAGGCTGAATTGGCAATCATTTCGGCACACGAAACAATTACACATTACCACAATTTTTACTCGTTAGAAAGGCAAAAAAAAAAAAAAAAAAACAAAAACAAATGCGACTTACCATCTGGAGGAGGCCGAGGCTGTTGGGCTGGTGGAACATTGTGTTCTTGAGAAAGATTGGCAGGCAATTGTTCTTTCCTCCCACTATTTGATCTTTTGTTAGATGCTTTCTTTTCATGGGATGAAAAGCAAGAAAAGCAACTCATTTCATGTGCAATATAATCGCTCGAGATCTATATAAAACGTACCTAACAAATTCCTTGCAAATGAAATATATCTCAGTTTATGATCCCTGCCATGTTGAGATCAACTGCAGATGACTGCAGGTAAAAATTTGATCACGAAAATCTCCCGAAAGCAAAAAGAAGTTTCATAGATTTGGAGAGAACGTGGAATGCAGAGAAGGCTCAAAAGAAATGTGCCATGAATTGAATTGGAATGCATGGGAAGACAAGAGGGGGTTATAAACATAAAACAGAAAAACAAGATTTTATAGTACAACCATGTTTGAATCTCTAGAACAACTACCTGAAAACTGAAACCATTATGAAACTGGAAGAACCAACAAACTTCCAGGCATGCAAAAGAAAAAACGTCGTTGCGATTTCCCGGAAAAATGGGGAAAGTGTAGGTCAGGAAGAAACCAAAAATAGGTTAATTACATATCTTTTGGTGTTTCCGCAGAGCATGGTAGAGAAGAAGAATGAGGTTCGGAATTAATGTGTCTTAATTAAAGAGCAAAACGTGGGAACCAAATCTGCTTAATTAATTTATTAATTCCAAAAAAAGAGAGCTTAATTATTCTTTGTGGTGGTTGTAGCATATGGGATCTTTCTAAGCTGCAGTTAAATATAACAGATAAAAATAGATATAGGCTAAATCTTGATTAGGGGATCTTTCCACTTCGGTCTTGTTTTAATTGTCGCAATTTAGCCATTGTTATTTACTAATTATTGCAATTCAAGAACAATTAGTTGATTTTGTCCCTTTTATCAGTGTAAAACGTAAATAGCTTGCTAATGACATGTACGTGAAGGTAAATTAAATAATGATAAGAAAATGAACAATTTCAATTATGATGATATGTTTCTTCATAGTATTGGATTTGTGTATACCTGGAGACGCGACATGGAAAGAATCTTGTTGATATTTTGTTTTCTTCTGGTATGCTATACGCCTTCTTTAAGACGGGTAGTAGTCGTAGCAATGGTATCGTGACAGCAGCTCGCGCCGTATACTTGAGAAATAATAACCATGAAGTGCAATTGAAGTTGGTCTATGGCAATAAAGAAGAGGGTAGGGTAACCACCTTTCGAGTTCAAGATGATTATATTATTTTGCCACAACGGGTTCACAACTTACAGTTGCTAGAATCAACAATAAACAATGAAGTCTTGGTTATTCATCAAATGAATTATTATTATTATTATTTTTTTGGTTGTTGTAAAAGAGAAGGGAAAACAACAATGGCAATGGTGGTGGCGATGACAGCAATCACGACAATGATGATGAAGCTAATCAAGGTGATGATGGTTACGCTGACGAGGAAGGCAATAACATGGAAGGTAATGGTCAATAAATTGTGGGAAAGAAATTCGCACCTGAATGCATAGGAGCATTGCTCTATGTTACTTGGCTAAGTCAATGTCTGCTATTTGTGGTAGCTCCTTAAAGACAGAAAATTGTAACAAAATTTATACTTCTTTTTTCCCTTTTTTTTTTTTTTTTTCGTGTCACCCATTAATATAGAGGTCTGACGTTGTTCGCTATCAATAACGTGGAACTGTTCTTCTTTTTTCGCTTTAAGCCTGTAACGACGAGTTTGAGACTGGAAGTTCTGAAACATGAGCTTGCAGTTCTCATTCTTTATATGGAACTGGAAATAAAACTATAAATAATCATAAACCACAATGATGGATACAAGCATTACAACACAATCAAATTCTAAGAGTAGAAGAAATAATGCAGACAGCGACTCTGAATCTCACAAGTTAAGCGATACATTGACCTCGACGTCGGTGTCCGTTAGAATAATTTCTTTCGAGTTAGTAGCCTTCGGGTGATCAAGGCAATCCAATTTTATCCTGACATGTAGAGGTTTCATAAAGATGACATCTCTCAAATCTCTGTTTGATTTTAACAAGAGCTGAAGGCATGAATCTCTTCCCAGCTTTCCACTCTTCTCCGACTTTAAAATATCTGCTATTCTTGCCGCATATTTCTCCTGATTATCTTCTGCTACTTCTTGCTTTCTTTTGAGTTTTAAATACAACACTGCGTAAACAATAACCTGCATGATAACAAGAGTGAAGATTTAACTGGCACCAAAACTGCCCGTAAAACAAATACGAAGAAAACTAAATGTGCACACCTCGCTTGTTCCAGGACTAGTATTGACAACACAATTGATGTGTACTTTCCCGTCCTGAAATCCTGTTTCCCTAGTCGTACTCTCATCTTCAACAGTCGACTCTGGATCAGGTTCTGATATCGACAAGGCAAGATTGTCCAGTTCATCATACCATTGTTGAGCAACACCAACCTGAAAACTCGAAGAGATGAAATCCTAAGCTACTAAAAGACTGGAATATAATACTATAAAAGGAATTAAGTTCTTCCAGATAGGAACCTTCTCGGAAGATCCTCCTACATCCTCTACCCTTGACACTTCAGTAGCAGCTCCTCTTGCCTGGCGCCATATACAGCCTTCTTGTAACTGTTCCACAAGCTCAGTATCCTCAGGGACCTCCACATTTAACTGTATCCCAATTCTTCCTGTTACATAGACAGTCGAATTCTCAGATCAAAGAATCACATAACATATTATGTTTGCACAGTTGACAGAAACAGCATACTCTACATGAGAATATTTAAAAAAAAAAAGAACACTCAACCGGGAAAGGAAAAAGAAAAAAAAACAACCACCACCACTCCACCCCACCACCCACCACCCTCTGCGACCCGACCTCCCCTACTGCCTCCCCCGCGATCCTATCCACCACCATGGGTCCACCACCTCAAATGCTCCGGTTCCCACACATTCGTCCTACACAACCCACACCCACCGATGCTCGATCCAAATCTCAGACCTCCCCTTCCCTTTCCTCCGATGTTGGCCGTCGTCGCCGTCCAATCGTGGAGAACTTGCCTCTAATAAATTTGAGGTTTTTGTTCATTTTTCTTTCCGGACTACAGAACAATTATTTTATAAGAGTTCAATTTTACAATTTGAAGGGAAGAAGCTTGCCATCGGTGGAGATTGGAAACTTTAGATGTGATAAAGTTGATGAGAGAGAGAGAGAGAGAGAGAGAGAGAGAGAGAGATTAGCAAGAGATGAGCTAATGATCATCAATATCCCTAGGCAGAACCAACTCACATGTCACACGAAATAGTGAAATACAATGTCAACTAAGAGTACAAGAAGCATACTTAAGTTTAAGAAAATACCTGGTAATAACGAACTGAAAGATTCAAGATGATCAATCACTCCCTCAACTCCACCTCCACTTTATGAAGAAAAACATAGACTTCGTAAGAAAACAATTCACGAAACAAAAGATAAAAGAATATTGGATGTACAAGGAAACTAGTTTGTAACATACTTAGTATATACTTTCTCCAACGAGGATGGCAACCAATATGGCAGTCCAAGGATTCCAAAATTTGAAAACTGAAAGGTCGAACATAGTGCAGATTCTTCACTTAGTTTCAAAATCCTCCGTCCAACTTCAAAATTACATGCGTTGAAATGAGTAATTGAGTATTATAAACAAAGTACAAAACAAATTCATTTTGAAGAGGAAATGCAAATCCAGTTAAATAGGTACCCATATCACAAAGGATTACGTGATTCTGCAAGGTGGTAAATGAAGATAATAGGCCAGCATATGGGAGCAGCTCTGGTGAACAAACAACCTTGGTCTGCTCTTGCAACCAATCATGTGGCATCTGTTTCAACAGCGCTACTTTCTCCATGATCTGCGGTCCACAGACCTCCAAAATCTTCAGGAACCCTTTTCAAGTCCTGATGTTAGACTCCGTTAAATGTAATTTAAATAAACTAGAAAGAAGCAAAAAGGAAAAAGCAAACCTCTGACGACTTCTTTTATCTCTCCTGAAGCCAAATTTAGGATCCATAGAGTATCAAAGCTGCCATTCAAATTAATTAATCGCACCAATGCCCATATTAAAAGTTAAAAAAATAAAAGGCAAGTGACCCAGGATTTATTGATTAAGAAACTATGACAATTGATGCGGCGGTTTTACCTTCGGTTCATAACAACAAGACTGTCATCAATAGATTTCATCAGATGCCAAGGATACATCAATGATTGTAAATCAAATCCTTCAGTCCTTGTATGGGCATTGCATTTCAAACCTAGCTTGGTTGTGATCCAGGTCCAAAATTGATTACTCTTCTTAGTAGTGTCTCCCACTGGATAGATGGTTTCCAGAACCCGGCTCTCCATATCAGCTTTCCTGATGGCATGATTCTTAGTAGAAACCCCACATGCAAACTGGTTAGTTACATAAGTATGCAATATAGCTGCACAAATCACATTAGAACTTACAAGTCAATACATACCTCTGAATCAACAAAATATAGGCAATCCTCAGCGGAAACATAAAATGAAGCTGCAGGGCGTGCCAACTTGGAAGATTCAAAGTTTCCATCCTCAAAACCTGGGGAGGAACCAATCTGGACACACAAAGAATGAAAATCCAAACTTGAATTTTCTTCTTTTTATCTTTAAAAATTCAAGAAAACTACAATAACAAAGACAATTACTACGATTAAATTTAACATCTACATGGAAACACATCAACTTTCCCAGAATAACTCGGTAAGGCCAATTTTTTAAAAAACAAAGATGAATCCCAAAGAAGCCCTGCCCATGTGGACAAGGGAAACTACTTTTCTCCTTTTCAGATATCAGAAATTTATAATCATCATTGATTATGCTTAATTCAGAGTTGACATATATAAAGTGAGCAAGTCATGTACACAAAATCCTGATAAACATATATGTACTACAAAATCATCAAATCTCTGCTAATAAGAATATTGAGCTGCCAATAACTGATTACTGAATTGCTCAGATCATTATCTAAGTGAGTGTTAAATTTTTTGATCCTGTCTGTGTACTGTGTATAAATTGATGGTTACTATAAAATTTAGAAGAACAGTCCACATATCATTTATTATACATACACAGTCCAGAATATGCCCATTTCCATCAAATACAATAATCCGATGATGATTGCTGTCAGAAAGGAAGAGGCGGTTCCCACTTTCATCTGCAGAGATGCAGCCTGTAATGGAGAAGAATAAAAGAAACGCTTAAAACTTGGGTTCAGGAAACATTTTCTTTATTTTTGTGTATTTCGAAAGAATGTTTACTATTTCGACTGAACTTCACTAGTCATATGACATGTATCAGTCTAGGTAAATTATAGCTACGTTAAAAGGAATGAAAATACTTTGAGTCTTTTGCAGAACGCAGCTCCGCAATATCCTACAACGCAGATGCTATTATAATGGAGCAAGTCAGTGATGCATAGGGAGCCTATACCTGGGAAGTGGAAGAGAAAATTCCTTAAAGAATCAGCATATGGTTCCTTAATGACCTCAGGTTGCTTCGCCCAAGTGCTTTTCAAGTTAGTAAGCGACTTGGAACTCCTATCATCTTGCACAAGCAAGTCCTCAACAGCTGCACAAGGGCATTAACATGTATCATGGAATATGTATATGTAAAAAAAAGAGCCACTATATTAAATAAAAGAAGGTGTTCCACAATAAAACTCTTGGAACTGTATGCATTCAGTCGAACGACATACTAAAAATAATAATAAACAACATATTTGGTGTCCAGTCCAGATGCAGTAGAAAAGAGATGCTTAAGAGCCAAAGTAGAAAAGAAAGATGTTGAAAGCAGGAAGTACCCTGGGTTGTTTTGAAGTTCAACTGGAATTTTAAGCAACAAAAAATTGCATGACAAATCGACAATATAAAGCCATCAACACGTATCAGAGGAAACATATTATCCCAAACAAACTTTTAGCACAGGAAGGGATACTTGCATACCTTTACTAAGAACTTTGAGATCCATGTCCTTCTCATGGTAAACCACTGGACTTTTAAAACCTTTAAACAAAATGCAGCATGCCCCGTTTGCCATCTAAATACATTAAAAGAAAACTAATAAAAACATAATGCATGTAAGAAACAATGTTTAGAACCATAAACAAGCCAATGAATGTGTACATAGTTATGGATATAAAAGATTTGTTTGTGTCGGTCTTTTCACAAGACAAACCAAGGATCTTTACCTCACCTCAGTGAAGTTCTTGTTCGACAATATAATAGGAAATGTTATGTATTCCGTCAGTGTATATTGGATTACATGGCTTCGATCAGCAGCTGAGTGAATCGACCCACCTGACACAAAGCCGATAATGTGGAGACGAGGAAACCTACAATAGAATACACATAAAGAAAAGACCTTTAGAATGACTACCCGCTCGCCCAAATCATCCAATTCTAAGCAGAGAAAACAAACATCTACAGAATAACAACATATTTCTTCTAATTCTCTATGTGGAAAGAAACAAATACGACATTTTGTTTCTTTTACCTCTGTTGAAGTGACTTCATTTTTTCTAACATGATAGCAGCTTCGGAACTAGTTGTTAAAGAAGTTTGAAGAAACCGTCCAGCAAGAACCAAGAAAGTTCCATCTCTTTTAAAGGAATCTTTGCCTCCCTTGGTCCTATTCAACCAACAATGGCAAGGACCTGTACATTAATAAAAAAACTAAATAAGAACATAAAAAAGATTAAGAAACTGACATTTGCAAAAGCATTTCTTTACAAAGAAGCAATTGAGTACCTTCGAGCACATTTAATGTGGATTTAATGAAGGACAAAAGATCAAGTTCACCGGTACGCTCGTGTGATACTTTTGACGTGGTTGATAGCCTGAAAGAGACTGTCAATCAGAAGGCAAAGCTCGATTACCCAAAAAAAAAATACGAAGTGAAACTTACAAACTAAAATTCGAGCCAAGCAACAATTGAACACTGAGCAAACAGTATGATTATATCACAAAACTACAGGTGAAATTTTACTTAAAATTATCGGTACAATTACCGCTGAGCACGAAACCCACATTGTGAAATCCCCTTATCAATTCTTTCCAGAGCGTATGACTGTGGAATTATGGACAAAGCCGATAACTTGGTAACCAATCTACATTGTAGAAGATGATCACCTGCACCCAACACATCAAAGATTCAAACTTTAAACTCAAATTAACAATACGGGACTTCTACTTCCTAATTTCAACAAATTGCAGGTTAAAGTGATTTCTTTCATGCCAAAATTGAATTATACATTTGAGATTATAGAAACTTTGAGTTCAGTTTATATCTATGGAGGGTGAAGCTTACCGGAGTGAATTCGCGGCAATATTCGTGAGATTTCTCTGAAACGCCGATATCTGAGAGCCATTTTTCTAACGGAAGCATGTGGTTTCTCTGGCTCTTGGCTTTGGGGTTTTGGTTTGACGTCAACGGCCGACGGCGGGGTTTTAATCTTTTGGGCTTAGGGTTTAGCCCTTTTGAGGGTTTTAGGCATTGGATTGGGCCTTTAGGACCAGACCCAAAAAATTCCCATTTGGCCCAAATATTTTAATCAGATGAAAAAAAAAGTTCATAATGTAGGGTAAACTTTTTCTACTTTTGTTTCTTCAATGTGTCTTTTTCTTTCATATGTGAATCAGTGAATCTGTAATTTGTTGTGTAATGCGAGAGATAGAAGAATAGTCCAACTCTTTTAACTCTGATAAAGTTTCTTAACTTTCTGACGTGAGACAATTTTCACATCTTCAATCTTCATATGTCCTATCACATATGACGAACTATTAAGCTTAACATATAGACAAGATTAACTAGGTGGCGAAAACCACGTGTGCTCGTTAGGTTTAACATGTATACAAACTTATTTTGGTGCCATGAAGAAATATGAGGTTCTACCTTAAAACTACTGGCGATGTTTCTTAACCCTCCGAATGTGACAATCTTCCCATCCTCGTACCAATGAGACTTAAGAATCTATCCCTTGTTGTCTCCTCAAGAACTTTTAATTGAAATATTGAAAGATAAATAAACGTGTGATTTCAAAGATTGAAATGGTTCAACTTGAGGATGTACATTTTGTAATAAATTTGAACGTGTTTCCCACTTCCTACCCTTTAATCATGAAACCATAAGCATGCAATTTTTTAACTGTGACAGATCTCTTTTTTGTGTCTTTGACTGAGATTAAAGTAAAAAAGTTCTGTAGTTGGCTTTCCAAAGTATAAACTACAAAACAAACATTAATTTGGAAAAAGAAATAGCTCAAGACTTCGTTTTAAAGTTCATATGGCACTCTGTCTTTGATGATTTTTGTGTCAGTTTTAGTTTAATGTACATATTTTGTTGAAATTTCTAAATTGGAAAATTGGCAAAAACAATTACAATATATAATGTATGGTATCATTCTTAACACGTACATTGAGGCCTTATAAGATAAAATGGCGCCACCTTTTTTGGGCTTGCAAGTTGTTAATTTGATGACAATACTAACAATGACCTGTTTTTTTTTTAATTAAATTGACAGATTTAACGTTACATTTTTTGGTGATACACAATGATAATATAACCTCTACACCGTAATGTGAATTTGAAAACAACGTAATATCATTAAAATTTAAAATAATCAGTTCCCATCCAATAAGACCTCTCTCTCATTCAACTTGAGGAGAAATTTTTTATTGTGACGGGAACACGGGATGATACACCACATGTTTTTATGTAAGTGGTGTGAAATTTTATTTTTTAAGTTATTAACTTTTTAACATACATATCTCATCATTTGTATAATGACACATGGTGTATGCCAATCACACTAAAAAAATCTCTCTAATTTGAGAGATTTTGCGAATATTTTTGTATGCTCTTCCGCCGATATACCTGAGCATACAAGAAAATTCTGAAATTAATTATATTTTTAGAAAATCAATTTTCAAACGCAGAATGATAAAGCCTATGATTGGGAGCAGCTTATTCAGCAACAGGCAATGATACTGTGATCATTTATCAAAATCATGACTTTAGTTTTGGTTGCTTAGTTGGAATCAGCTTTCTCGAATTTTGTGTTTGAGAAGACAAAAGCCAAATTCCAAAAAGTCGATCAAATAATTTAAATTTCTCAGCAGGCAAAACAAAGGGTCCTCCCCTACCTCCAGCGCTTCCACTACTGCATTTGTCACAGAGAGATCTGACACCACTGCTTCCCTCCCTTTTCATCTCAGATTTCTCAGCGTATTATCTACCCCCTTTTTTTCAGCTTTAAAGAATCACTACCATTCCATGCAATAAACCCACATGATACATCTGATTTTCTTCTTCCTTCTTTTTCCAAAATATATAAAGTGTATGCATTTCTTTCTTCAATTTGAAGGGGTACCATGTAAACTTATCAAAAAGTTTACAGAGTTCTTTTTCTTTTTAATTTAATAAAAGTAAAACGATAGCTGTTTTATCAAAATAATTTACAGAGTTGGGAATCATTATTACCAATTCGACTAAAAGTAAATTAGAGTTTTCATAAATCTATTGACAATATATATGAACAAACCAAAACCGAATTTTGATAAAAAAAAAAAAAAAAACTAAAACCGAATTTCACCATCAACATTAAAGCATTTCATAATTTTATTATAATTAATCAGAGCAAAAGGAACAATCCCCATTTATAATCTATACCACCACCCAAAATCATACCATTATCATCTACATATGAAACAAATAGATGGAAATTACATAATATGAAATATTAATTATAACCAAAGTGTACTCTTGCTATACATTTCTAACCCCAATACAAAAGCAAAAAAAGGAGGAAAATAATAAAAGAAAAGGTAATGCTAATTAATACGGATAACGATAACAACAATTTAAAGGTAACAAACCTCATTCATCACTGCGGGCCAAAGCAGTTTTAAAACAATAACCACAAAGATGACAAACCATAATAACTGTTGCCGTTACGATCCTTTTCTTCTCTCTACCTTCACCATCTCTGCAGCTAGTTTGATATAGGGTTTGGTCCGCTGGGAACTTCATGAGCTTCAGCTCCAAAATCTCTTCTGGCACTCGGATTTGAAGACGACGACGTAGTTGTTGGGTTTTGGGTGTTTTTTGGGTGGAAATTTGTGGTAGACTTTGATGAGGGCTCGGAGAGAAGCCTTTTGCTTGTGATTGGTGATGTGGAGGAGGAGGAGGCCATTGATGATGGACTGACAAGAAGAAGAAAAATGAAAAAAACTAGGGCAAGAAAGAGAAGCAAATTAGGGTTTACTTTGGTGGGGAATTCAGAGATGGATGGTGATGACGACGGTGATGGTGATGTTTTAGGTGCAGCTGCCATGCAATTTGGAATAAGAAACCACCCCCCAATAGCCCACAAGGGTTCAATATCCATAGACCAGCACCAAGGCTAGCTAAGAATAAGGGAAGAGAGAGAGAGATCTAGAGAGAGAGAGAGACAGAGGGAAAGTGATGATGATCAGAAAGAGAGAAAGAGAGGGGAGAGGGACAAGGGAGAAAGAGGAGAAGAGAAGCTTCAGCAAAAGTGAACAATATAAAGTAGGTTTTGAAATTCGATACACATTTGTATATATGAGAATGTTATAATATAAGTGGAAGATAAAGCTGTGATATTAAATTAAAAAATAGAGCCAAGTAAATATGAAATTATGGTACTGAAACGGGGTGATGAATTAACCAAAACGCCCTTGTAAAATGTAATGAAACGAGGACAATTTTGGTACTCATATGCACAAATAAATGAAATATTAAAGAGGAAAGGAAAAAGGCAATGACCACAGAGAAAGGAGAGAGGGAGGTGGTGGCTTTTTCTTGTTTGGCCGGTTCCTCAAAAAATCTTTCTTTGACTTGGCGAACCCTAAGAAAAGAAAAATATACTAATTTTGTTCTTTGCGTTATTTTTCTTTTCATGGAGAGAATTTATTCACTTTCCCTTCCATTCTTGCGTAATATGTACACTCTAATATTCTTGATTTGCCCTATATAAATTCATAGCCTCCAAAAATTGGTAAACAAATTCACGAAAGTTAACTAATGGATATTAAATTGCCAAGAATAGATGATATATCAATTTGAAAATCAAATTAATCACGTGAGTTTATAACTATGTTAAGAGAATTAAAAACACACATTTGAATGTATTATTGTACATATTTTTTCTTAATTAATACTATTGATAATATATCATATCCTCTCACTTACATGTTGTCTCGTTTCATAATAATAATAATGAATATCGTACTTTTTTATATATTTGAATTTGAATGTTAAGAGAGTGAGCAAAGCCCTTTTGAGCTGAGAGTGGGTTTGTATAGAAATTTTTTTGGTCTGGTCTGGAAAAAAAATAGGAAAAAGCACATGGAAAGCAAAGCATCGTATTCTCTATCATATGAAAATAGTGCTGCTTCTCTCATAAGTCGTGAGTCATGAGTCATATATTTCTGTGTGTGTGTGTGTGTATAATATATACATACATAATATATATATATATATGGATTATTTTATATAATATTATGATAGTGATTACTGAAAGAGGCCAAGGACACATTGTATGTGATGTCTCCCATGATGGGTGATGCATGGGTCCCCACGACCTCGGTAACACGTTCAAGAGAGGGATGGTACGTTAAGGTTATGTTGGGAATTCCATATATGGGTACATACATATATATAAATCAATATGTATTTATGTATATCAGTACATTGTTGTTTGGGAAGCTGGAGAGATTTGTGGGATTGATTGAGTGAATCATGGGTTGATTTGTTTGACTATAACTATCACATGTCTCCGGCAATGATGGAGTAGTTATCCCAAATATATATGTGATTCATAGCAAATATATGTATTTGGTGTTTGTGACTGAATTAAAACACAATCAATAAGAGATCTTCTTCTTAATTTTCAACGACTTATATGCATGTAGGTTGTTAAACTGCCGAGTCATGTAACTTTCTTCATAAACATATGTATTAGTACTAGAAAAGAGTAACTTTTGCTTCTGGAGTTATTGTGTTCTGTTTTCTCACCTAATATATCGCTTGTATAATTGAAACGGGAATCAAAAGGGTAAAGAAAACTATCTGATGAAAATGACAAAAGCTACTTTTCTAAACATAATGCGGCATCAACAAAGACTGATTGAATACTGTCGATACAAACTCCTCACCCACCTTATCAATACAAGGTCAAGTTTCAGCTTGTTCCTATTTCTTAAGCAAAGAAAAGCAAAACTGATAACATAAATAATTCCTTCATTTTGGTAAGAATAAGGTAACACATTCACGAAGAAAACACTTCTGGTTAATATCATGCTAATGTCACAGGGGACAAATAGTCTACGTCTGCAAAAATATGTAAATAAATTTGAAAAAATATTGAAGAATAAACATCATTCAAAAAATGTGCGTAGAGGCCATGTGCTGTGTTCG